GACGATGAGGAGGAGTTGAATTTACTTCAAAAACAAGCTACAAATATAACACAGGAAACATGTTTCATTTACACTGCTGGTCTGACACAGGAACTTAAAACGGAAATCAAAAGGAACTTAGCCTTAACTGGAAAACTACCTCTGATGAACTGACCTGTGCTCTGCTGGACACTTTAGTGAAATAACAAGAAAGATTTATTGAAAAAATTTCACTTCTGTGATCAACAATGTGTATGATCCCATCAGTTTTACATGTCCAGCAATACTGCTAGCAACTGCTCTTTTAAAAGAAACCCGCAAAAGGAAACTTAGATGGATGAACCAATCCCAAAAAAAATCTAGAGAAATGCAATGAATGGTTAGTAGAACACATGTTAGATAAAATGGTATTTTAACACACCAAATGCACCGTGGTATGGTGGATGGTGGGAGCATATGATATGCAATATGAAAGATCTGAAAAGAATTCTTGGTACAGCTAGTCTAAATTTTGAGGAAATGTCAACGGTTGTATGCGATTGTCACAGTACAATCAGCAAAAGGACATTAACTTATTTGTTGGAGAATACACAGTAACCACCATTAACACAGGCACATTTCCTATACGAAACTCCAAATTCGACTAATTGTGATTTTGACACAATCGACGGAAGTCATTTAAAGAAACAGATACGATACTTGCAAAGTGTTCGAGATTGTTTTTGAAAAAGATTCCAAAAAGAATATATGTCTGAGCCCATAAGGAATCCGACGATTAAGGCAAGCGGTAATATTCAAGTATGAGATGTTGTGTTTGTGGGATCTAATAGTTCCAAAAGAATTAACTGGCCAGAGAGAAGGAACTATTTACAGGACAAGATGGAAAACAGCAAGCAGAAATAAGTAGTAGTGAAGTTTGTGAGAAAATGAGAAGCATAGAAATTGCCCATCCCCTTCAGCAGTTACATCCATTAGAGATTGCATCATCAGATTTAACCCTCCAGGACAAAACTGGAAGCTCAGAGCCCAGATTACACCCTTAAAAGAAAGGAGGAGATTCATCACTTAGTCGCAATGATTCAAAACTGCATCCCTTACACTTGATACTAAGTAATGATGGAATTGTTTCAAGTCCTAAAATAATACATACGTAAAGTGGATGACAGTTAAAGCAAACCAAAAGACTGAATTTATAAGTGCTCCACCCTTATGAATATTGACTAAAATATCTATGTTAGATTACAGTTTGTACGAAGTATATCAGTTTTGTTTTGTAATATCTAGATGGACAAGACAACAGGTGGGAGGATGTTGCATATCGATGTTCATAGTTATCAGTTTTAGAATTGGGTTTTTATTTTGTATGTATCCATAACAATGACACATGTTATAATATAAAGAAAAGTGTTTTATGAATAACTTGTCTAAGTTATTTAGTGTCTCTAAGTTAGTAAAAGTCTTATTACAAAATAAAACATTTAGTTTAGGACTATAAGAATCTTCTGTGTTCCTTCTCTTAAGGAGTTACAAGAAACATATCTTTGGTTACATGCTTGTCCGAGCATCCACTCTCATTAACTAAATGGAAAAGGCCTAAATTAGCCGCAAATACCAGCATAGAAGTATCCTCAAAATTCCGCATATACCAGCATAGAAGTATCCTAAAACTAACAGAAATATTTGAAATTACTGCCAAACCATTTTACATCAGAGACATTTCCTTCAACTCCTAATGTATGGACTTCAATTCTGAATACAACTCTCCACAAAATTTCTGCATTCGATCAAATTACCCATTCCATTTCTAACAGAAAGCAGACAGGTCACCTGCTAAAGCACTGCTAAACACTTACTGATGTTTAAATGTTTCAAATACCAACCTTAAAATGCCGTTTGCAACTTTTAAACACCAAAATTTTAAAGTTTTTTATCTCTTGCATTTTGAGGGTTGGAGTGCTTTAACTATATACTCTTCCAAATCCTTTTCATTTTTTCGAAACTACAATAAATGGCAAAAGATAACTTTTTATTTCTCTTCCCGGCTCCATTATAAATATATATACATACATAAATACTCTTCCGCTATCAGGACCAGATACAGAAATGTATGTATGTATGCATGCATGTGTGTTTGTATGTATGTGCACATATGTGTGTACAAACACATACAGTGGATGGACAAAAATATGGAAACACCTTGTGAAATGCATGTTTGAAAAGAAAGATTGATTTTAATGAAATATGTAGGTGGCGCTGGCGTTTTCGACTACTGACGCCACATATACAACTTCATAAATGTGCTAAACAGTTCAGTTGTTGTCGGAGTACTGTTATGTGAGGTTGTCATTGCATTATGTCAGAGTTAACAGACTTCGAACGTGGGCAAATTGTTGGAGCACATATGGTAGGTGCTTCCATAAGCAAGGTAGCCGAGGTGTTTAATGTTTCAAGAGGTACTGTATTGAAGATTTATTCCGCATATTTGAAAAGTGGAAAAACATCGTATGCTAAATCACAGTGCGGACGAAAGTGTGTCCTGAGTGATCGTGACAGACTATCATTAAGGGCAATTGTGACGAAAAATAAGAAGACCACAGCTGCAAAAGTTACTGCTGAAATGAATGTTGTGTTACCGAACCCTTGTGATTACCAAAACAATTAGAAGGGAGCTTCATAAACAGGGAATTGCTGGCCGTGCTGCAATTGAGAAGCCACTCATCAGTGATGCTAATGCCCGTAACAGGAAAAGGTGGTGTTTAAGTCGTAAAGCCTGGACTATAGAGCAGTGGAAGCGAGTAATATGGTCTGACGAGTCTTCTTTCACATTGTTTCCCACTTTTGGCCGAGTTTACATCTGGAGAACACCATCTCATACAGACTGCTGGTTGCCAAGAGTGAAACATGGCGAGGATTCTGTTATGGTTTGGGCACCATATCGTGGATCTCTGCTAGCCCCATGATAACTGTGTCAGGGCACATGACTGCCAAGACTTATGTGAACATTTTGGCTGATCAAGTTCATCCCATGGTACAAAATTTGTTCCCCGATGGTGATGGTGTCTTCCAAGACGACAAAGCCCCTGCTCACACAGCTCACATTGTCCAGGACTGGTTTTCTGAGCACGAGGATGAGTTGTCCCATCTCCCCTGGCCACCACAGTCACCAGACCTGAATATTATCGAACCTTTGTGGTCTACATTGGAACGGAAAGTGAGTTGTCGTTATCCACCGCCAACATCGTTATATGAACTTGCCACCGTTTTGCAGAAAGAATGGTATAATATTCCCTTGGCAAACATGCAGGAACTGTATTTATCCATTCCGAGAAGACTGCAAACTGTTTTGGATGCCAACGGGCCCTACACCATATTAAGCAAAGAAACATGTTTTTTTAAAGGTGTTTCCATATTTTTGTCCAACCCCTGTATGTACTTACACATGTACATGCTTTCACACATTTCTGAATCTGGTCCCGATAACAGAAGCGTACCTATATATATTATTCTAAGCCAATCCACTATTTTATACAGTAAAAATATAACTATATACCAGTGATTCTCAACCTTTTTTTGTCGCGGGACACTTTTAACGATTTCAAAATTTGATGGCACAAAGAAAAAGATCAGTTTAAAAGTTGTTTACTTACCAATAATACACTGTGTAAAATAATTTATAATAATAATTTTGAAAGTAAAATACTATGTACTACAACATGTACTACAAAAACAGCAGTACATTCATTAAAGGGATTAATTACAAATTAATAATAAGAATACAGTCAAAAGTCGTTAATCCGGACTCGTCGGGACTTCGGCGATTCCGGATTATCGATTTTTCCGGATTATAGATCATCAGTTTAAATCTGGTAGGATGGCATGCAGAAATTATAAAATTAAAAATATGAAACCGTAATTTATGAAATAAAGAACAATTATGATCTAAAGGGTATCAAAATTTACAAAAAAAAAAAAAAAAGCTTAATATTTATTTACTTTATTAAACATTTCTTTCAATGTAAATTGTTTAAGTTGCTTCGTTTTTTTATGTGATAATACTTTCTCTTTAATTCTATAACAAAATAATAATTTCTTGTTCAGTTACAAAATTCCGCTGTTTAAGTCCTAATTGCTGCATCGAGAATACCGACTAATTTGTCAATCGAAATTCTTTCGTTTTCGAAGAAAGTGACCTCTGTGCCACTTTCTTCGCTATCGGAAGTGAATTATAATGACGAGGAATTTGATTTAAATCATATCAAAGATGGAGTACATCGAGATGAAATACTACATTTAGTAAGGAATTATAAGCCAAAAAAAATAAAAACATCTGCCCTGAAGATAAGGATAGTACTGACAGACCAACTTGCAGTTCATTGCATGCCGCGACGTTAAAGATAAACAAACGTTAAAGTTTAGATAAACAAAGGATATGCCTTTATCCATTTTTTGTAGCAATTCCACTTTTTGTTTAATGGACTTCGAAGCATACTTTTGCTTTGTAGATCCTTTACGTATTAGTAAATATATATCGGAAATTCTATTTGACATAATCGAAAGTTCAAGCTTACTTTTATAAAATTGCTCTAACAGTCTGCAAAAAATAATAAGCCGGATCCAATTCAAAGATTAAGGAACAATGCAATCTGCAACATTAACTGAATTAGATAATTTTAGCTTAGCTTATACCGTCCGTTATACATTAAACGCGCATTCGTAAACATATTTTGCGTACGCGCACACGCATATTCGCATCCGTAAAGGTCTTACGTGCATGCGCAGAAAGTTTGCAGCTTTGAGGTCCGGATTATAGATCATTCCGGATTACGGGTGTCCAAGTTAACGAATTTTGACTGTATTTTGTTTGTGATTTATTTACAATACCATCATATGCTTCTTCTTTCATGGACACAGTCCTTCCCATTGCATATCACCATGAATTCACTATACATATTAATGGTACACAAACAACATTTAAATAAAAAATTTTAAATGTTAAAACAAAAATTTACACCAAACAGTACCTGAGCAAGAATATCATTCATAGTTTCACTAGCATCAGGATCATTTTTTCCTAACAACCTTAGTAGTCTCAAAATTTTAACCTGTAATACAGGATATTAGGTTAAGCATTACAGCAACATCTCAGTGTGTACAATAACAAAATAGAAAATAGAAATTTACATACTTGTAAGAATGGGTCACTAACACCACATACATCATGTTCTGGAGAATACCCCGCCATTATTAAATTTTTGAGAATCCGTACTAAATTAGAAACAAGCTGAAAAGAGCATAACTACTTCAAAGTTATTTTAGGTATACACAGAGAAAACATGTCCACAAATGTAATGCAAAGGATTTAAAAGCATAAAGTACTATTTTTAGTCAAAAGTTTTAAAATTAATCTTAAAAATGTACAGCACATTACAAAACATAGTTAAATACTTTACAAATAATGAAAATACTACAAAAAGAAAAAGCTACACAGCTGTTACACAAGTATATTGAAGCTAGAAGTCTGGTCAGCTGTGTTCGAACACTCAGCGATATATAAAACCTTAAAATGCCTTAAATGATATATATATATATATACACCCTTGAAAACTGGATCATTTTCTCAATGCATTTTAATTAAGAAATGAATATGCACAATAACATAATCAGATAAAGTTTATTCTGAGCAAGCAACAGATGTCATCTAGCAAACTTCCAGTGAAAGAATTAGATATCTTTAATCGACAGACAGGCAGGATTTCAGGATCCCATATTATGCTTGTTGAAAAGAGACAGCACAGTGTAGCATGACAGTGAAAAGATGGTACAACGACAGCATTATGTGAAGAGCATGAGTAGTGCAAATATTAAAATCTGTTTTAAACCTGAAAACTGACTATCTGATACTTGCAATTAACGTGGCAATTGTATGGGGCTAAAATTTATCTCCACAGATATTAGATGCTTTGCATAATTCTGATGTGGCAAGGAAACGCTGGATAATAAACAGAGACCTGGACATTGAATGTCTGTTCACAATGAGAAAATCATTTTGCAAATGTGAAAATTACAGATGATTTTGGTGTTGACAGAGAATTGCAAAATTTTAGTGTAATATTTGGGCAAGAACGTGATCACTACTTGGTTTCAGGTGCATGTTACACCAGATAATCAAAAATATGCACAAGTATGCAAAAAAACAATGCTAAAATTACTCATATGAATATGTTTCTGCCATCCATGGCATCAGGGAATGAAACACAATGTTTTCACCATGACACTACAATTAAACATCAAAACTGATGTTTAGTTTATTATGATGTTAGTGATATTCAAATAAATAAAAGGGAACAAAATTCATAGAAAATGTCTGTGATTCCCAATGACGGCAGAGGATTTATTCAGAATAAGTATGGTCCTTAAAACCCTTATCACATACGATATTTGTTGCCGGAACAAAAGGTTTGGTGGAACAGTTCTGAGAAACGCTCTTTGGCGAAATAGGGTTACCATCTTCACTTGGTAAACAGGCTGAAAGCCGAACAAGAATCAGTTATTGCTCAGATTGGAGAAAGTGACATTTCCTTTCAAGTGACATTTGCTTCTTCGTGTTGTTTTGCATCGCTCACACTCTTTTCGTTTTAAACTTTATTGTTAGTAATGGAAGATAATAGAAAGGTGATTACTATCAAGTTAATCACTTTGATCTCCACTCTGGCACTTCAAGTAACAGATAAACACACTTCTGGTTATAGCAATCAATTACATCAGTAATAGCCAAATTCTCTATACACTAAGGATAGTTTAAAAACGTGTTCTGGATAAGCCTATTTATCAGACATCACTTATGTATATATGACATAGTTCTCTGCGTTTAAATCAAAATTTGATGGCTCACTGGAAAATTGTGACCTGGTGAAAGCATTTTTTGACTAACTTTATGGTCATAATTACTGTCTGTCCATTCAAAACAAACAGACACAAAAACATAAAATCTTCTACGACAAAAATCTATATGGCTGATATTTACATCCTCACAGCCAGCAGACACTATTCAGCAAAATGAAGATCAAATAAAGCATATGAATACATGAGCAATCAAAACATGTGCGAGTTGTTTACTGTCCCATAGAACACTCGGTAATATACCTAAAACACATTAATTATATCAACTCTAGAAATTAGGTGTGCACACCATGAGTTTGTTTTATGTGATTATGGCAAGGCCTCGAGGGATATCTGGCTAACTGGAGGGATCCCTTTGTAGAAGATATTTTTAAACTGGCTCGTATACCAGTTACAAATGGGAAAAACCAAGAAAAACCCCCATGTAGCCAGCCCGTTCACGGCATTTTAACCTGAGACCGAACTACCAGTGTTCAACGACGCTTCAGCCAATAGTATGCCCGTGCACTTAATTGGAAAATAAAATTCATTATGTAAACAGATATGAAGGTGATAATCAGTTGTGCACTGTTTCAAGTAATCAAATGTTATAAATGCACAGCTGTTACATTTCTTATTATTTATTAGTCATGTTTATATTACGTAGATCATACATATGATATAATTAGGAATTAACCCAATAACAAAATTTGTACATTCTTTAGTACTCAAATGCTCATCAATTATTTTTCAACTGATTATTACATATCCATAATAATTTGCAAAGAACTGATGACTACAGTTGCTGCCAATTACATAATCGTTATATGAATTAAAAGTAACTTTCAAATAAACTTTTTGGCATATTCATTTTTTGATTCATACATACAATATATATATATACACATCTAATAAGTATATATTTACATACAGATAGAGAGATGCGATGGTTAGAAATTGTTAATATATATATTTATTAGTATTAATGTAATGAATAAGATTTATATTAATGAATGTATATACAAATGTTTTTCATCATGAATAATAGTAAATCCATAAATTTCCAATGTTTCGATATGTAGCATTTACAATTAAAGTATAGTTTCTAATGCATTTATAATCCAAAAAGTATTTCATTAATAACATGAAAATAATAGATAAATTTAATGAGTATTCTCATTATTACATAAGCTATGCTTTTCTTTTTTTATGCATCTTTTATGCTGTTTAAAATGTTTTCACTGATTATGCAATTAACAATTTAAAAGATAAGTAATTAGGAGAAAAAGCCCGCATATACAAACGAATTTAAAAAAAAATTATTCAACTTAAATTAAGAATAAAATTCTATAATTAAGTGATATACACGAACAGCACGAAATACGACAATTTGGTTCTTTTGACGATGAACACTTTGTAAACAAAATCCAAACGAAAGAACTTTGAAACTGTCAACTCTGAAATTTCCACGATTATATATTTAATGATATTTAAACTTTGAGTATTCTCATTATGACATAGCTTGCTTTTCTTTTTTTTATGCTCTTTTTTATGCTGTTAAAATGTTTCACGATTATGCAATTAACAATTTAAAAGCGAATAATTAGGAGAAAAAGCCGCGCATATCAACGAATTTAAAAAAAATTATTCAACTTAAATTAAGAAATAAAATTCTATAATATAAGGGATAATACACGAACAGCACGAAATACGACAAATTTGGTTAACTTTTGGCGATGAACACTTTGTAAACAAATCCGACTGCAAGAACGTTGTAAAAATACTGTCAACTCTGAATTTTCACGATTAATATTTAAGAAATTTAAACATTTAAAAATATATTATATTTAAAAATATTTAAAATATATTTAAAAATATTATATTTTAAAAATATTATATTATTACAACAAAAACAGCATTAAATCGGCCTCGTTTCCACCGCCCATGACTTCACAGTGAGAGCCATCGCCATATTGAAAGTTACCCGTGATCCTTCAGAAGCAAACTTGATTGGTTGACGTTCGAGGACACGTCTCAGCGGAACATTTTGGGAAAGTTTTTAAAATGTTGCTCATAGCCCGGGACATGTTCCTCCTAGCTAGACGAAACATTTCTCGGAAGCCTCTCACTTAAAGCAGTCCTACTAGAATCTCGTTTCTCGGAATTGTCCCGGGTAAGCTCGCACGTCCCTAGAAGTGATAGCCTCTTTACAATCACTGACACACAAAATGTTTATCTGAATATTAAAAAATGCTTACTGAAGAGACCACATGGTAACTTGTTCTTTCTGCAGAATACATACATTGGTCAATAGCTGTCTAGAAAACTAGCATGCTCAATCACCCACTTTTAGTCTCTCAATGTGTCTCCCTACGATTACTTGACTGCTGAAAGTGACTGCAGAATGTGACCTTTCTTTGAGACACACTAATTTATTTTACTAACTGATAGATCATGCTACTCACCAAATTGAAGCCAAAGAAATGCCTTTTAAGGAGAACATACATATTATTTAGTTTTTCCTTTTTATTTTAATTTACATCTGTCTCCTTATAGACTGTCAGACTGTGTGTGTTTGCTCACAAAATAATAAATATAACAGCCAGACCTCACAGATAAGATTAAGTGGGTAGAAAAGTATATATTCCATCCAAATTCAATTTATCAGCCATATATTAAACCACACATACAGCTAAACAATATTTTTGGCTTTCAGTTCAAATGAAGAAAAGTATGTTATTTATTTGATAAGCAAAATACATGTACTTGATTTCTTTAGAAGGGAAATTTTACTTCAGTTTCAGAATGCAAACTGAAATGTTTAAACAAAAAAAAAAAAAAAAAAAAAAAAAAAAAAAAAAAAAAAAAAACATATAATGCTGAAACAAAACAAAACAAAAAAATGTACTATTTAAAAAAAATGTTTTGTTTAACTCTTTTGCATCAACAGAGGCCAAAATCTGTTCACTTCAAACATCTGAAATTACCAAGTTTATGAATTTCTGTTGGAATTGATTTCCTCCCCCCATGCCAAGTAGAATGCCAAAGCCTTAACAATGACCACTGAAATGATGTGATGATTTCTCTCTCGGGGATCTTGTGTGGTTTTACGCACTGTGCGTAGTTTCCACTTTAAACAGGATTGCAACAAGCATCAATAGCTAAACACTTATGCTAAACAAAGTAGTGAGAATGTGCATTCAAATAAACAAGCTGCTATAATCACTTCAAAAGAATGACTAGCATGTCACTGAACAAATTTCAAACCAATAAGCCATGCACTAACATCATGGGAGAAAGCACCGAGTAGAAATTGGATGCAGGCACTCATTGCATTCAGACATTGCGTCTGACATATGATTCTATTCAGACATTGCGTCTGAATGCACAGGTGATATGGGTAACTTCCCTATGAAAGGGTTAAAACAAGGATGGTATATGCCATATCTACAAGCAAAATGAGTATGGAGAAATATGCTGTTAGCACTTTAGGAAGAATTGACTGCGTTATTTAATTACAACAAAGCACATTAGGGCAAAACATCTGCATCTGCAAAGAGGGAAAAGTATCCTTTCGTGGAGGGCTTGCCAAGTAAAACTGGCTCATATTTACATTACACATGAGAAAATAGGAAAGTTTTTCTCAACCAGTTTAATTCCCCCCTTTTTTTCAAAAAATTACAAATGGTTCGGTGACAAATACTGAAATTATGCAAATTATTATTCTGTATAGGCAAATAAGGAAGAAAAATAACAGAAATTTTTTCTGAAATTCTATAATTTATGTAATTGCAATTTTAATTTCATTAATCAGGATTGCTATAATTCAAAGATACTATTAATAGGCTAAATATAATTCATGGAAATTTCAGCTCCAACAATAAACACATTAAGATTAAAATCTTCCAAATACGCATATTAAACCCTTAGTGTTGAACCCTGCTTTCATACAGTCACTAGATTTTTTGTCTTTGGTCATATATTAACATATAATTTAAAATATTTAATTTTCTTACTTTCTTTAATGATGTAAATACCATCTTAGTGAATGGATGTTTATGAAAATCAGACTAAAATTAGTAATTATACAAATTTAGCTATTAAATGCTGTTTGAACGCAGCTCTCCAAGAGCAGATTCAAAAAGCTGTACCGCAAAGAAGGTTAATCATTAGCAAATCCACAATTATTATTTGTTCTAAATTAATAAATGAATTTAGAAGACAAGAATGTCCATTGTGAAGCATTATGAATGGACAAAGCACAAATGCTTGAATAACAGGTTATAAAAATTACGCTTAAATAGTCAGTTACAAAAGTATGGAATAGGATCATGTGTCTGTTTAGTTGAAAAAGAAAATGTGGGACTTGACCGGTAATATAAAATATATAGTTCTTCAGAATATTATTTTTTTACTTCTTAATCTAGATATTTTTTTTATTTTTATATATACAGAAGATATTCAAAATTTACAAAAAAAAAAAAAAAAAAAAAAAAAAAAAAAAAAAGGCTTAACATTTATTATTTTACTTCCTTAAACATTTCTTTCAAGTTGTTCCTTTGTTTTTTTGTGCTAATACTTTCTCTTTAATTCTATAGACAGACATAATTTCTTATTCAGTTACAAAGTTCCATTGTTGAAGTCCTGTAATTGCTGTGTCTAGAATTCCGACTATCTTGTCAACCGAAATTTTTTTGTCTCTCTGTCACACTGTCTGTAGCGGTATTTTCTGGGTCTAGAATCATACTACAGATTTCGCCATCCTGTAATAGATTGATGATTGAAAAGCATTGTCATCACAAAGAAAAACTTCCTTTATATCCTCTTCATTTGTTACTATTTCTCCACATTTCTTTACAAAATCCGCTAATGGGAAAATTTCACCTTCAGATTAACGGCTATCATCATTAAATTTAGCTGTCGTTCACTTTACATATGTGGCTATGTATTATGAGATTGGCGACTAAAGACAAGGTCTTCCGCTAAATTTTATCATGCTTCTATTGCACACTGAGACAATTAAGCGTGAATTGTATTAGTTTAGTTATTTATTATAGTATTTACGGCAATTTCTTGCATGTGCTTAACACTTATCTGAGTCCTGAATAAATAAATTCCCACATATACTTAAGGTTTATTGAGGGCCAGCGCCTGATGCAGTCTCTGTGGGTCCTAAATTCTGCTACCAAGCGCCTTCCTTTGTCTTCTCTAAATTCTGCCGCCCGGTGTGGCCATATGAAATCTGGTGTTAGTTCTGGGTTTATGTGAATAACAAATCAGTTATTCTGAATTCAAATAGCACTAAATGTAATCTTTTGGCCTATGAGTATCATTAACAAAATCTACTTTTAGCATACAGAAAGAAATCTTTGTTAAATTTTTTCCTGTCAACATTTCTTAGCACATTTAACTTAAATCTGTAATCATCGACAAGCATAGTATCAAAATGAAAGGTTATCATTCTGTTTCTCAATTACTAATATAAAACAAAAAATGTTTAGGTATCGCTCCATGAATCAAGTTGTCATGTGTTGATAAACATGCGGTGATGAAAGCAAAATATAATAAATAATGATTCGCTAGGTTGGCATCAGGGGTGTAACATATTAGTAGGTGTAAAATCAATGATGTATCTGTAGTACGTTTCGGTTTGAGATGTATGAACTGGCAGCTACTAAGCCAAATTATTGTTCATACAAATTTATGCTAAAATGATTGTCTCTTTAATAACAAGGTATTTTATTTAGTGCCGAAGAGAAATCAAGAATCGAGCCTCTCCACATGTTTTATTACGTGCGGGGAGGAGGGATTATATGCACATGCGTACAGCACACAAAAAAATATAATTAAAGAAAAAAAGTTGGTAGTGGCCTTTTGAGGTCCGGATTTTAGATCATTCCGGATATTTGGACATCTGGATCTTGGACATTGTACTGTATTACAGTCCCATGTTAGTCTAGATGCATATTCATGTAATATGCTACAAAATGTTTCACTATTTCACCTGGGCTATCTCTCTTGATAAGTCATGTTAAACTTTAAAGAGCCTTTTTTCTGCAATTATTAAAATCTGCACCTTTTCAGATTTTTTTTTTTGGGGGGGGGGGTTGTTTGTTTGTTTTTGGGTGTTTCTTAAATAAAGTGAAAGTAACTTTCTATAACATTAAGAAATATAAATGTAAAATTAGGCATAAAAGCAATGCCAATTTAGTATTGTATTGTTAACCAATATTTAGTTTTATTTTGTCTCTCAGTAAAGACTGAAGAAAAAGGTTCTGCTCCTAATTCAGCAAATTAAACAGCATGTTCTACAGAAATAAATATTTTATGATTTTTTAAAGTGGAACAGAAACACCAAAATAAAATAACTGTTCGATAAAGTACTATCTCCTATGCATGAAGCATACTCTAAAATCTAACAATAAATTCACAGATTTGAATGTCTTGAAGAATTCTGAAACAATTTGGACACCTTTTTTACAAATGCATTCAGTTTTAAAGCAGTTAATTATTCCTTAAATCTTATGAACTTAATTCTGGTTTAAATATTTAGGTGATTTTTATTTTCTAAAATATTCTGCATTTTTTCATCTACATCTGTTTCGATAGAAAAAGTTTTTAATTTTATTGAAATTTCTCAGTCAATATGCCCTAGCTGTGAAAAAAATTCTAGTTTAAGAATAGTCATTACCATTAAAATAAAAACACACATTTTAAAATATACATAATAAGTATACAAATAATCTAAATGGCAACTCAAAAAATTAAATGCAATTAATGTACATTAAATGCAAAAATACCTTTTTAAAATGATGAAGGGCATCTGGGCTTTTTTCACACATCTCTGTTAGAAGTACAACAGCAGTTATGAGAACCCCTAAAAATTACAAAAGAATTTTTAGACAGCTTCCTTTCTACCAAATAATGAAACCTAACACAACTAAAGTATAATTTAAGACACTACAAATATTCGGCTGCAATTAAAAAAAAAATTGTTTCAATTAGAAAACAAATTATCTAGAATACAAAATATTTACTAGAAACAGAAACTAAGAATCTTATAACTGCCTCATGCAGGGCCATCTGCCATGGTTACATTAACTTTTTCTATCAATCCCTGCAAAGTTGTTAAATAATTTGATTGTTGATTTTATTCAGTCATTATCTGCTACTCAGTATTTAAACTGAACACCAAGAAGCAATAACATTCTCTTTGGACACACTCACTACAATCCAATAGTTTATTATAAAGAAATAAATAACTACTCTTAATCATCACTACCAGATTTAACAGCTCTTACTTCCTAAAGTCCAGTTTCACCTTAAAAACTAGTATTCTGGAAGCATATCACTCTTTGCAGAAAGCCAGTACAATTCAGTAGTTAATTGTAACGAAATAATTACTCTTAATCATCTGTAACTGTTGAAAAATCTCACAAACAATTGATTTGTATCGCCACAAGATGGCACTTCTCTTCTTTAGAAAAAAGAAAAATATTTGTTTTGTTTACGATGTTGAAGTGTAAAAAGCCAAATGCTTCCCAGTTTGTTTTAAAATCAATTATTATTCTGTAATTTTGAAGTATTATATCTTCTATTAGTATTATATGTATGAATTGTGAAAAACAATAATTATATTTTTTTATAGCAATAAGGCTGGGAAACTGAAAATACCAAACGTTTTGTAAAAAGCTTGTGCTTCAAATATGGAATACAGAATGTGGTGTTGTCTTCAACCTATTTTCCTGCATAGTGGTGTAATGTAAAGGCCTTGTAATGTGCTGCTACATTTGGATTAAACAAGTAAGATTAATAATCTGCAACAAGGCAAGATTTAATATTCTTTATTGTTAAGAAATGAACTTTCATATTGCAAATTACTTCTAACTCCTCTTCTTAACAGAATTAAAATCAGAAGAGAAATTTAGTTAAATGAAGATATTTAGTTAATTTGAAAGAATTGTTAGAAATTGGTTTTGAAACAGAAATAGTGAAGGCCAAATGAACCACATTCTGATCTCTTACAACAAGATTAATTTCTAAAACCAAAACTAAAATTTTAGAAAATGAAACAGGAGAAGAGTCAGAACTTCAGAATAGATAAATTTGAAATTTAAACAGTTAAAAGAAATAGATTCTGAAATTCAAATTACAGATGTTAAAGAAATTGAAAAAGAAATTATTAAGTGCGATGAGTATTGCACATATAAGTTGAAAGCTGCTATTAGTAAATGCACACCAGGTACACAAGGAACACAGCAACAATCTATCAGCTTGTTAAAATTAGAAAAACAGTTTGTTAAATTACTGTCGTTAGCAATAAGATCGATAGTGATCCTGCCAATTGGCAAAGATTCTCAGATCAGCTTTATATCTAACATAGATAAATTTAATTACTTAAACTCATATTTAACTGGAGCAGCCACAAATGAAATTAAAGGAATTACACTGACAAGCAAAAACTACGAAGCAGCAATAGAAACCTTACAAGAAAGATTTAGTAAAAAATGTTTGGCCGTTAATTTTCCTTTAAATAAATTCCTGAATCTAATACCTGTTAGGAAATCAATAGATGTCTTCTGCTTAGAGATGTGTTAGATACTTATCAAACAAAGTTCACAATTTAGAAACCTCAGAGGTAAATTCAGAAATTTACGGTTTTATTCTATTGTGTCCATATTGATTAAATTAATACCTCAAGTTACTGTTTGTTCTAGAGATCACTAACAAATGAAAATTAGATGAAGACTGGAGGGGTCTTGAAAACAATTAATATTCTAAAAACAGAAGTTGAAAGCAGATTAAAAAAACTTATTTTTCATACAGAACAAGTAGTTAAATGAATCAAAACAAAATTTCAAACGCCATGCAGAAAAACTAGCGACTCAAATGCAAAGCTTCAAACCTGAAACACTTTCATGAAAAGAACTAATAAAAGTACGCTGTCAGCAATAGCATTCACTATGATGCAGTCTACATGCATTTGTCTGTTCAGCACCATGATTCATTTAAATGTAAAATGTCATCACAAAAATAAATTAGAAGTTTTAAAGAGTATTAAACGATGTTTTAAATGTTTCAAAATGTACCCACATTAGTAAAAAATGATGTTCTAATAAAACTTTCTTGTTTCAAGTGAAAAAATGTCATCATCGTTCATTTTGGCTGGGTAATAACCTAAATATTAATACAGCAACAATTAATCAAATGAATAATACTTAGGAAAAACAGAAAAAATCAATTTAAACTGTAATACTAAGGATATTTAAGTGTTAAAGAATTCTAATTCTGAAATTGTCAGTTTAGTTTCACGATGTAATGCAAGCATGGTATGTTCCAAAAATGTTCATTTACAAACTTAGACAGTTGTTGCAAATTCAGAATTTAATTCTTTAGTGACTGGACTCCTCATTCGATGACGAAAGTCAAAGAAGCTTTTGCAGTAAGCATTTAGCAAATCCACTTATGTTAAATACTATTTGCTGAGAACTACTTTCCATTTATTCCTTTGCTATGCATTTGCATTCCCTTTTTTTAAATATCAAAGAACAAATTTTTTCTTGGGACACTGTTCTAGCATGTTTTTATTTTTGGTACATGCATAGACCCACATTGCCCGTTTCACATATGTATCTTATTCTATGAGGTGTAATAGGAACAACATTAGTAAAAACAGAAAAAATATCCAATCATAGAATTTGAAAGAAAAGCGAGAGCATTTTGAGAATTAGACTCAAATGGAATTTCACAAAAAGTGTAGAACTCTCTGGTAAAGAAATAATTGATCAAAAAGAGACAGCTTGTTCACAAAATACTGTAATAAGGAAAAATGCATTAACACATTAAAAGGCGGGAGTCGTAGTACTACGATTTATCTCGACTGTAGCTTAAAGGCGGGAGTTGTAGTACTACGATTTATCTCGACTGTAGCTTAAGGCGGGAGTCGTAGTAATACGATTTATCTCAACTGTAGCTTGCACATTTATCTCGACTGTAGCTAGCACATGGATTGCACAATGTGGTTTTGTGGTTTGAAGCTGTTCAGGTGTTCAAGTTCTACTTACAGTAGTAATTTTGAAATCCTTCAATATGGTTTCACATGAAAATAAAGATATATATGCAAATGATCTGATGGACATTGAAGAGCCACAACTTGGCACATCAAACTCGGCACCACAGACTCCATGATATAAAATTGATCCGCCTGGACGTTTTTCGCTAGACATCAAAGAGCACAAATTAATTCGGATCGAAAATAAAGGTCAAAAGCTACATGCCCAACAAAACTGCATAGTTTGTGCGCCACATAAAAAAAGAAAGTTGACTTGCTTCAAATGCAAGTTTTGCAATGCACCTCTTCACCGTGGCGAGTGTTATCAACATTATCACGCTCATGAAAAATACTAGATTCTTCTCATAAATATGTACTTAACATATTTATGAGAAGGTAACATTTTTTGTAATTCGTGTTTAGTTCTTTTTTAATATTTCTTGTAGTTTTAAGAGTTTAAATAAACTTTTTTAAGTCTGCATTTTTTTATGATTACACAAAATATCGCTCGCTCTAGGACGAAAAACAAGGCCAGGCGGTTGCCGCATTACCTAGCATACTTTCATCAAGATCCCCTGCCTTTAATGTGTTAATGAATGAACTAAGAACGCTTGGGGAATTAAGATTCAATTGGTATTTCACAAAAAAGAAACAAATAATTGATCAATTTAAAAACTCTTTATCCTTTAATAAGGGTGGATACCGAACTAAATTACTTTGGAAATTCAACCTTGATGAATTAAATAATTTTCATACTTCAATGAAGCGTTTTGATATTTTGAGAGATAGATTGGATAAGGATATAGAAATGCATATGGAAGATACAAAAATAATTGAAGAACAGTAATTGAAGACAGAATTGGTGAAATATACCAAAAGTAAGATCTCAAATCAGGTAAGTATATGCCTCATAGGGCAGTGATAAGACCAGATAAACATCTTGCATTAAAATTCTTTTTGATACATCATGTAAAGGAGAAAATTCTAAATCCTTAAATAATTTGTTACAGGCTGGACCTAATTTAAATCTTATTATAATATATACAATATATTAAATATATTTAAATATATAAAATGTCATTCTTAAATTTTGAGAACACAATATCGCTTTTTCCACTGTTATAGAAAAGGCATTTCTAATGATATGTACTGCTGAGGGAGATCGCAAAAAATTAAAAATTCCTTTGGCTTCAGAACGAAAATTGTGAATTATTCAAAATTATGAATATGACATACTTTCCATTAGGTATTACTACAAGTCCATTCACTCCAGCAGTAATAAAATATATTAAAAAATACAGCACTAAAAACCTGAAAATTATGAAATGTTGAATTCATCTTTATATGTTGATTTATAGCGAGTAAAGACAGTAGAGAAAGCAAATCGTCATCTGATGCAGTTACTGTTTTAAAACACAGGGTATGAATTTATGTAAATTTAAATCAAATTCTAAGGAGTTAAAAAACATATGGTTAAAAACGGTTTACAAATAAATGATTCCTTTGCAGAAGTAATATTTAAGGCCTTGACTGAGATATAGAAAATGGCACTATAAAACTAGATTTAAAACTCTTTAGAATCATCTTCAACTAGCTGTGTGTTACATACTAAAAGACTAGTGTAACAAGTTACAGCTAAAATTTATGATGCAACTAGATTTATATCTCCATTTATGATTAGAATTAAAATCCTGCTACAACAGATATAGATAAAAGGGCTTGCTCAGGACAAGTACAAGGGATAACGATAGATAGAATATACTTTCAAAATGATGATAAGCAAACAGTGACTTTTTTTACACATATTCTGCAACTAAGTAATAATG